CTGAACCAAGCATGTTGGTCCAACAGAATCCAGCGTAGCGACTTGGAAACCTTTCGGTGCCGAATCGTTTTATAAATCTCTTCAAGAAGATTTGTATCATACCTTTAAATATTTTATGTTGCGTTATATCTTTGGGCCTCCTTCAAAGAGACTTCGTAAAACTCCGGAGATTCCTCAGGTTTCCTTTCAAAACAACACTGAAGTTAACTATTATTGAATTTTTTGGTGGATGCATTGATGGTAGCATCAACCTGCCTGGCCGAGATAATTCCCACCGACAAATTTCAACGTCTGTACACTATTCTTTCTCAGTTTCTATCCATAACATCGGGCACTCAATCTGCCTACGTATGCATACGCGCTTGAGCAGCATTATTTTACACGTACTGGAGAGTTGCATTCTTGTCCAGAATACCGGTAGATCATGCGAAGGAGGCAATCAACTATTTCAGAAATTCCAAATCAAAAAATAAACAGTGGCTAAGTTGGTCTAATCATGTCTTTATTTTATTTGCTCTCATTTGATGATCTGATCCATTGGAAGTACGTATATATGACATTAATGTCGAAGTTTTTGACCAGTTGAGATGAAGACTGGCGATATTATTACGCAGCTGTAGCGAATAAAAATGTTGTTAAGAACCCGTTATTGGCATGAATAAGACTATAATACCTGTTGCCAGCGTTCTGGCCACACAGCACTAGCTTTTTGAAGACAGAATGCACAGATAAACCAGGAGCCCTCTTTTTCGCCTATTGTGCAGCCGAAACGTTGGCAACAGATTAATGAAAGTTACGTTGCCCCTAGTACCATCAAATTTGAAGATCAGAAACGTAATTAATTGTTTGATTCAAGTAAATTATTGGCGTTTTGATGATATATTAAAATATTATTTATTGATTTGTAACCTTTACTTTTATGAATACTATCTTTTTACTAAAACAGGCTTTGCATCAAGCAGAAGCAGCCCAGCGTTACGAAGAAGGTCCTTATAGCTATGATCAGAATGCAGTACTAAAGTAAGCCTTTAATGTTATCATTCATGAATCGAATGATTTTGCTTTTCTTTCGCCTCTTCGCTGCTATAAAGTAGGCATAGTCCAGTTGGACCCCACCCCCACCAAAAGTTTGTCCTCTGACTATGGCATGAGCGAAAACATTCGTTAGGGGTAGAC